GACAGGGACAGTATGAACTAGAAGCAAAGTAATGCCTTGCTTTCAGCCAGCCAGTAATACATATTAGTACCCGTCAGAAAGTGAGGTACAAAACCACAGACAGGGCTAGGCATGGTGGCACATACCTTTAATCCCAGCACTGTGGAGGCAAAAGCAAACTCTGTGAATTCAAGGTCTGCTGGGATGACAGAGCAACATTGGGAGTTCCAAGCTAAGCCAAAGCTACTTAGTGAGATCCTGTCTAAAAACAAAACAAAGACAACCTACAGGATGATATTACTAACAATAAGAGGATGCTATTCCTAGAATAGAAATACAGATTATACAGAGGAAGTACAAAGTGCCAGCCTGGACTATGATGAACAGGTATGTAAGCTATTCAATAGGAGAATCAATCTCTATGGAACATCTGCCAGAGCCATGCCAGCTCACTATTTTAGAATTCTATGAATGTACTGAAAGCCTGCCTTCCAAACATATACATTTGTACAGTTTTCAACTACTGTAACATTAACTGATACCAAATCGATGAGATGTGAATTCCATCCCCATCGCTTACTATCTGACCTTGAGCAAATGTTAACCTCTACCACAGGTTCCATCTGCAAACAGCAAATAAGAACAGTGCCTGCCCTCTTACTGTTGTTATAAGGACTAAGTTAGCATAGGTAAATCACTTGGAATATTGTCTGGCAAATACAGTGAGAGCTCAATAAAATTGAGCTGCTAGGGGCTGGAGAGACAACTCAGTGATCAAGAATATTGGCTGTTCTTCCATAGGACCCAGGTTCTATTCCCAACACCTACGTGGTAGCTTACAACCACTGGGAACTCTAGATCTAGGGGATCTGACACCCTCTTCTGGCCTCTGTGAACACCAGTCACACATGTAAACACACATAAATGCAAGCAAAACTCACATACAAATAAAAAATCTTAGTGGACTATGGCATTTTATTTCCTAATCACTACCTAGAACTACACTAATTTCTAATCAATATTTATTCCATTTACAGTGAAACTGATCCAACAAGAACGTTCTTAAGATTGGTTAAGAAATGTCAGTATTATACAGCATGTGGCTACAGATCAGGATCAGAAGGCCAAAGTGGTTAACATACAAGGCAATCTGGAACTGGTGGCTACACAATGCTGTGCAGTGTGAATCAGCACACATTTGTTAGAAAAGGCTGCAAACCTCTCCTGAAGCCACATAAATGTGCAACCATAGCCAGCCAATCTACCCAGCAATACCCAACAGGAACATTCACATAATTCAATAAATGCAACGCATCTTTACATAGTTAAACAATTATTTTGCAACACAAACACATGTAATACAACTTTACATAGTTAAACAGATACTCTATTCTACAACACTGTGATGAGCAAAGTTAAGTAATGTAAGAGAAGTCAGGCATAAGAGACCACAGTGTCAGATTCTAGCTGACAGGTTTCACACCAGGCTGGCCTGAATGCCATGGTGGCCCAGGTTACTTCAGGAAGATAAGTATGTGTTCCTGGGAGTGCAGCCAGCAGGCACCCCCAGCTGTTGGCTGTCTTCAAAAACAGCCCCTGTTGTAGAGAGCAGCAGGTCGAAAGGTAGCACCTTCCTTGGCAGCCAATGTCTAGTCAGTACAGCTATGATGTGTACTTCCTCACAACTCAGGGCATCTCTGAAATCTCCCAGAACCCTCCAGGGCACACAGGTTCAGACTCCATCTCCATTATCTACTGCTATGTGATTCTGAGGAAGCTATGTAGCCTTGCTACATTGGGTTGTTCTCACCTAAAAATAAATAGCAGCACCTACTCTCTTGTGGCTCAAGGGATGAGTTACATAACATATAAAACACCTGAGACTGAACTACAGCTCAGCTTCTCCCCATGCCCTGCCCAGCTCCCTCCCTTCTCTTATCTCCAAGTGTGCTGGCAAGGGGTCCCTTGAATCTACGAACCATAGCCTTGTTCTCTCTCTGCTATCCAATGCTCAAAACCTTCAACAAAAGAAACTGGATACTTCTGGTCATGAGGACAATGACTGCTGTGGTAAGGACAGGTGTGGATCAGAAAGAACAGGAAGAAAAAACAGCTTCTGGATGCTGGGTGAACAGGTGTTCATTCTGGAAAACTTAGCTTCACTGAACATCTATGAAATGTGTCTTTTTGTCTATGTATATTTCAATATGAAGTTAAAATAAGACAAATTAGAAAATAAACATAACTGAATGTAAGAATACTGAATCCTACTTACATCCTACAAACAAGTGTTCATGTGCACATTGTAAACCCAACTTAGGGAAGTCTAAAGGATTACAAAGGAGCTGGTAGCCAACAGTGTAGACTCATGCTGCAGCCCTCAGCACACTCCAGTAGGTAATGACAAGAGCCAATCAGATGCCAGGGAGGTCCTCCTGCCAGACTCAGTTCAGGACCAGAATCAGGAAGGCCACACTTGCCATTTTTATCCTTCTGCCTCAAATATGGCCATTAAGTCCAGCTGACCTGCCCTAAAGTAGGCCATAAGACTCTCTATATGTGGAGGAAATAAATGTCCCTTTCTCTAAAGATAAGGGGACAGAGAAGAACATGAATGACAGGCCTTCCAAGACCCCAGAGTTGTCACTAGCCAATCATACTCCATTTCTTCCACTCAACCTGCACAACTGTCCACTGTTCATCAGATTTGGGCACACAATACACAACCTTCTTTGGATCTTTATTTCTAAATGCTCTTGTGTTGTGGAAGACTTGAATAAGTATGTATGCTCTCCTATGCTTTACCTCTTTGTAAGGGATGTCTCAGCCATGAACCCAGGGTGGGTAAAGGGATAAATACACCACCAGCTACTCAACTGTGCCTTTCAAAGCAGAAGACTGCTAAAGTGAGATGTTTGCCCTCAGGAATGTTCACTGTTCTTCTTTTGCCTGTAGCTGTCAAATGTGCATGTTGAATGATCTGCTCTATCACTCTCTGCCCTACTCTTTGTGACAAGGTCTCTTACTGAATCTAGACCCAGGCATCTGGCAAGTTACTACAATCCTCTTGCCTCCACCCTCCACCATGCCTAGGTTATTAGCACATGTACAGCCATCCCATGTCCATTTTTTAAATAGGTGCTGGTATCCAAACTATCTCTCCAGCCCCTGCTTTCACTTTTGAACCTTCCTTCAGAAGCACAACTGACAAAACTTAAAACATGAACACATTTCCAATATAAAGCTAGGCATAGTGTAGTAAACTTGCAACCCCAGTACTCTGGAAGGAATGGCAGGTATACCAGGAGCCCAAGGCCAGCCTCAGCTATATGCTGTGTTTAAGGCCAGCTTGGGATACTTGAGACTCTGCCCCAAACACTTCTAAATCAAGAGAGAATTTTCTGTTTATTATCACAGGCTATTTCATTAGAAATCCTCCCAATCACATTTTTTAAAACATTTTTTGTTAACTTACTGAATAAAATTTCACATCAACCCCACTTTCATACAGAGCACAAGAACCACAAAGAGAACAAGGCAGTTTCCAAACAAGAAGGCCCATTTTCCAAGCTTGATATTGAATAAGGATGCTGTTTATGTACCTATTCCAGCTTGCCCTAATTATGGTTTCTATTGCTGTGGTAAACACCATGCATCTTGGGAAGGTAAGGCTGTGCAGCTTCTATAACACAAAGTCCCACATCCAGGGATGTCAGGAAAGAACTCGAGGCAGAAACCTGGAGACAGGAGATGGTGCAGAGGTCAAGGAGGATGTTGGCTTACTGAGGCTTGCACATCCTGCTTTCTTATAACAGACAGGCCCACCAGCCCATGATGAGGCAGACCCTGCCACATCAATCATAAATCAAGAAAATGCCCCACATGTTTGCCCACAAGACAGTTTGGTAGAGGAACTTTCTTAATCAAGTCTCCCTCTTCCCAAGTGAATATAGCTTGTGCCAAGTTGATAAAATAAATCTAACCAGCACACTGCCATAACTTCCTTTGGGTCATTCTAACACATCATGACATTAAACTCAACTCAAATGACATGCTTAGAATGATGAAGTTAATGTCATCGGTACTGTTGGAACATGATTCAGAAACACTGGTGTGAGGAGAATTCTGGGTACTTATGGGAACACTCCAAGAAAACAAGACAAGAGTCTTGTGACCTCAGTTTCTTCAAAACATGGAACTGTTCTTGAAATGTGTTTTCATGCTCCTTACAGGTTTCATGGATAAGAGTGGGTTTACTTCAGATTACTCATTATTGCTTGAGTTTGTTATTCAATTAAATGTTTAAACTATCCTTTATATGCCTCGATGGAAAAACATGTTTTTGCCATATTCGGCTTGTCCTTGTGATTGTATACAACTTGAACGCATGAGAACTTTACTCAGGTGACCTTTCCTAACCCTCTGGGCATAAATTGTCTGGGGCTCTGAATAAAGTTGGTTTTTGCATGACACTTTAGTCTACCTAATTTAGTGGCTCCATTCTCCCAAGTCCTACAGTCTCTAGAGCAGTGTTAGAGGAACTACTGAACAAAATGTGACATTCAAGAACTAGATAGAAGTCGTGGAAGCATACGGTGAACACCAAGGGCCATCACTGGCCGACCCTAACAAACATCTTACTCCAATAGAAAGACAAACATCAATGTTTCAGTGTATTAGTGGACAGAGACCCAAAAGAAGAGCCAATCACATTTTCATCTATTAGCCTGCTGTTTTGTTTGTCCACTGTTCTTGCATAAAGAGGTAACAGAGAATTCAACCCCATAAACTAAGATCCAAAAAAGATTCATGGGCTCCATCCCAATTACTTAGATCTTTTTGCAAATGATTCTGGCACTCAGATAAATCTAAGTGTGTTCATCTTCCTCTTTGGAACAGATGAAATGATGCAGTAATAATGTACATTCCATTTTTATCTTGAAAACACAAGAAGTTGGCTGGGAATTTCCCACTCACCACTTCTGAAGTCACTTAACTGATTTATTAACTCATTCAGAAAATAAATTTTCAAAGCTTACTTTACTCTACCTTTAAACTAAAACTTAATTTACATCATCTTTACATGTGGCTATAAAAAGATCTCAACATTCTCTTTGACCACAGGCAGAATTCCAAAACTGTACCCTCCTACCAGGAAGCAATTTTACTTCCTGATTCAATCATATTCTAGTCCTTCACAAAAGAACCAATGTAAATCGTCCCCTGGGGACTGAAGGCTCAGAAGTTAAGATCCAGTACAGCTCTTCCAGAAGACTCAAAGATCCAAATCTGGTTTCCAGTGCCCATGTTGGGAGGCTGACAATGGTTTCCAACACCAGGTCCCAGGGCATCCAATGCCACTGACCTCCGCTGCAGACACCTGTAATCGTGTGCACGCACATAACCTCATGCGGGCGCAACACAGATACACAGTTAAAAATAAAAATAATTTTTTTTCAAAACTGACTGCCTTGCTGGGAACTTCCCCAAAATACTGAATGCATTTCACATTCAGATGTACACATGTACATGAATGTCTTTGGGACCAGGGACAAAACAATCATGCAGCTCTGCAAGTTATCCTAAGGGCACTTGTATTGGAAGCTTTGTATGTAGTCTAGAACTCCTGGGGATTCTGAGGCCTTTAAGACATGGGACTAAAGGGGAGTCACAAGGCTCCTGTCCTTAACAGAAACAGTGGGACTTGGGCCCCTTCCTCTTTATTTCACTGTCAGGCCACAATGTAAATACTCTGCTCTGCCATTCACTCCCACCATAGTGTGCCATTTTACCACAAGTACAAAAGCAAAAAGACCAACCAGTTATATAGTGCAGCACTCAAATTATGAGCCAAATAGACCTTGTCTCTTTATAAGTTCACTACCTCAAGTATTTGTTACAGTGAAAACAGCTGTCTGGCACACGCACGCCCCTTTATCTCTTGAAAAAATCAGAAAAAGCCAAAGTCACACAGCGTCTGTCCTCTGCTCTGGGACTCTGTTGAAAGAAAAAAATCAGTGTTTAAAGTGGGAAATTACCAATAGGGAGTCAGCAATAAGGAGTCAGGTAGAAATATAAGGGTATTTAATAGGGAAAAGCCTTACTTACAGAGTGACCTAGCCAGCCGGCATGGCAGCAGTCTGTACAGCAAGCTGAAAAGGAAAACCGAGAGTGAAATAGCCACCTGAACCTCTCACTCTATGTCACCCTGACCACGCTCTTGCAGGCATGGTCAGGCAGACCTGTACCCAGCCCCTGAGCAGGCATAGCTACAGGTTCCCCTACAATTCCCCTTTTAGTCTAAAAGAGGATTAAAACTTAACAGTGGCAATCCCTGTCAAAATCCCAACACAGTTTTTCAAAGACATTGAAAGAACAATACTCAACTTTATATGGAAAAATAAAAAACCCAGGATAGCCAAAACAACTCTTTACAATAAAGGATCTTCTGGAGGCATCACCATGCCCGACTTCAAGCTCTACTATAGAGCCATAGTTCTGAAAACAGCTT